TAGGACCAGTGGTTCTGTCGTGGGGAAGAAGACGAGCTTATATTTTTTATAGGAAAACACAGTATAATACTACGTTTTCCTAAAACGTAGAACTATACTACGTTTTCCTATAAAAATAAATTATTAAATAAAATGTAGTATTATACTGCGTTTTACTTTAACGGCTAACTTTCCGTTAAACTAAAACGCAATATAATATTACGTTTTAGTTAGAAATGTAACTTTTTTTTAACTGTATAATGGTATTTTGAGTCCAAAATACTATTATTTAAGTTTCAGACTCGATTTTTACCGTATGCTTTCTTAACTATTCGTGTTCGGAGAATTCAATCAATACTTATAAAGCCCTCGATATTCTTTCTCAAAGGACAAGGTAATTTCCAAATATTTTTAAAGTATTATAATATCCAACGATATGAGGTGTGTCCGATCAAGAACAATTTTTCTTTGTTTGGGGCCGGGGAGGGATTTTTCTTTCTAAGCTGCATATGTTATAGATTCGAAAACAACAACAACAACCCTGAATTCCTATAAGTATGGTTTGGAGAGGATAGAGTGTACTTATCCCTATCTTAGAAAGATGGAAAGACTGTTTTCGATAGACCCTCGACTAAAGAAAAGGAGCAATGGTTATAAATAGTAATAACAACAAGATGTTAAGGAAGCGAAGCCAAGATAGTAATCAAACAATGGGAAGTACTAGCATTCTAAGGATAAAAGGATAGCATGCTAACACTAATGCCACCATGTCCGCTTAGTGTTAGTATGCTATCCTTTTATCCTTAGAATGCTAGTACTTCCCATTGTTTGATGACTTGTGTATCAAGCCTCACATCCATGTCCGCTTCCTGGATAACATCATTAAACTTGCGCTCTAAATACTCTATTCTGATCCTGCTCAACTTGAAACATTCTGTCTCCAAACCTCCAGCATCTCGTTAACACCACCTCGTGCATCTTCCATCAAATCTATATTATTTGTAAATAACATACACCATAGAACCTCCCATTGAGTGTATCGTGTCAGTGCATCCATTGCCAAGGAAAATAAAAATGGACTAAGAGTTGATCCATGATACAATCCTATCACAATCAGGAAGTATTCCAAGTCTACCCCCATAATTCTTACCCGAGTCTTAGCTCTATCATACATATCCGTAATTAGTCTAATGTAAGCTAAATGCAAACCTTCAGCCTCCATATATCCATAATGAACTTCTCGCGGGGCTTATCATAAGTTTTCTCTAGGTTAATGAATACTATATGCAAGTCCATCTTCATTTTCCTATATCACTCCACCAATCTCCTCACAAGGTGAATCGCTTCTGCTGTCGGCTGACTCGACATGAAATCAAACTAGTTCTCAAAAAATAGAAACACACCTCCTCACCCTCACTCCAATTACCCTTTCCCAAACTTTCATCGTATGGCTTAGAAACTTGATACCCATATAGTTGTTACAATTTGGATATTCCTTTGTTCTTGTACAACGAAATTATTGTACTTCACCTTAATTCTTCGGGTATCTTCTTCGTCTTAAAAATGACGTTAAACAAATCTGTAAGCTACTCCAAGCCTGCCTACCTACATTCTTCCAGAATTCTACAGGGATTTTGACTGGCCCGGTCGCTCTACCCCTGCTCATCCTACGCATAGAAACCTCAACCTCCTCAAATCTTATGCGCCTACGGTACCCAAAGTGACGACGACTCTCGAAGTGTTCCAAATAATCCAACACAATATTCACATCCCCCTCTTCATTCAAGAATTGGAAATATATCTGCATCTTTGCTTAATTTGTGCCTCCTCCATCAAAACTCTACCGTCTCCGTCTTTGATGCACTGCACTCGATCCAGATCACAGCCCTTCCTTTCTTTCACCTTAGCTAGCCTATACAACTTCTTGTCCCTATTACGCCTATTAAATTCTATTTCTAGTAAGGACAAACACAAAATTTCTTTGCGGCAATGGAGATACTTTGTGGTTTCATCATTATGAACAGACAATCTAAAAGTATATATGAAGTTAAAGAGTCCCGAGTATCTATCAATACATATAAATGTGTTGCTTGTGATTTGTTATTTTATAACTTGAGTTAGACAACTAGAGAAGTACCGTAGGACATGAGTGACCAGCTTGACTAGTATTTATTACTAAGACTAATAGAATAATGATTTTATTTGAAGACAAAATGAATTCTTTATACCATCTCATATTACGAAGATAGCAAGTGATTTTCTAATTCACAAATATGATTTGCAATGAAAGGTACATCTTGTTGTCAATAATATATCCTGATTGATAGCAGTGGCGGAGTTAGAAATTTTCATAAGGCATTCAACTTGAATATGCTGCCAAATGTAATTTTTGAATGATTTTTGCCACAACAATGAAAACTTTGCTTATGCCAAGGGAATTAAAATATATATATATATATATACTGTATAGATATATATATAATCAAAGAATTATTTTTGTCCTATCTGTACAGTATAACTTATCGATAACAGGGATTCAATTGAAGCTCTTCATTAGATATGGCTCCACCATTTATATACACAGCCACTACACATAATTTAAACTCATAGAATAAAGGCATAAAATCATCTTTGATCACATTTGAAGGATCACGACGATTGGCACCTTTTATTGTCAACAGTAAGTTAATTCGTATTTGTTATGACCCAAGCCCTTGGTACGTATTGCCTGCTTTAGGCCTACATCCTTACGAATTTATCTTTAGGGCTACATCACATCGAGTCCTAAAAACGTGTGACCACGTGAAATTGTGTCATACCTTATAAAGCTCTCCCATTCCAATGTGGGATTCGCCTAAGGTAATATGTGCACCCCTTATTCAGAAGCTTTCTAGCCTAGAAGCCTGCCAATCTTGCTTGACTCCGTCATACGTATCACATTTACCCCTCACCCTCTTCTGGACTCAGCGTCCTCGTTGAGGTTTGTCCTACCGTCATACTAAGGTATATTTGGCTCTGATACAATATTTGTCATGTCCAAACCCATGCCACTTATTGTCCAGTTTGGGGTTAGGCCCGCATATATTTCTTTTTGGGACTACGCCATATCAAGTCCAAAAGCGCGCGTACCATATGAACTTTTGTCATGCCTTATAAAGCTCTTTACTTTATTCTCTCATTCCGATGTGGGATTCGCATAGAGTGATATATTCACCACTTCTTCAGAAGCTTTCCAGCTTACAAGCCTTCTAGTCCTGCTTGATACCGCCTTTGCACGACGCAAACTTCCACCGGAGCCGTGACGATACCTAAAACTACTTGCTTGACAAGCCAACAATTTCACAATAGCAGAGAACTCAATAAACAAAACTGAACAATTCAAATAACGGAAATATCATGAAATATCTAAGAAAGCAATAATATCACAACTACAACCATCCCAATAATACGGTGTCAACGAGTACATGAGCACTACTGAGTATCAATATACAAGGCCAAATCCTCAATACAACTGTCTAAACAATATAACAGTATATGTCGCCCAAATATGCCTTACAAAAAAGGACACACGGACATTGCAAATATAATCTGAGTATTTAGTCCAGAGTTGAACCCACAAGGAATTAACCTATCAATTACTTCTCATTAGACTTACTAACTTCCA